ATTTGTCACACATTATTTAGTTTTGATCGAGCTCTTTAAGTACTTCTCGGTGCGGAGTTGTGCTTCAACAATTTAGCTAGGTACACATTTGAGAAATATCATGATGTAAAGAGAACAAGGATGAAAAGGAAAATGGAGGAAGAGAACAAATGACGTTTGCATGGAATGATGGAATAAAGGGAAGAGAGCACGAACTAAAAACTTTTGGGATTTTATGTTTTGACTCTTATAAAGTCATCGCCTCAACACTACGCATGGATTATATCATCATTCCTTTCGAATATCTACAACCAAATATTCTTCCATCAAGCAACGTAACACACTTTTTTATATATAGTCACATATTCACCACCTTGAGCCTTCCCTCCTCTAGTCTAACTGTCTAATGCTGACAAAACCTTACAATATCCGAACCTTAAAATGCTACTATATCTTAGGAAACTATCCAACTTGTAATATGCGTGTGTCATTTTCCTTTAATTCGTTTGCCTAAAAAAAGAAGGAAATCAAAGAAATGAAAAACTATTTCTAAGAAAAATTGTTTTGGGAATGTTTGGTTGGCTAAAAAAAGAAGGAAATCAAAGAATTGGAGATGAGATGATATTAGTTGTCACCTTATTATTGGATGATGTGAGTGATTTTTTAATAAAACTTGTTTTGATGTTGTTTGGTTGGTGAAAAAAAAAGGAAATGAATTATAAGAAATCTATTTCCTGTAATAGGTTGTTTTCTTTTGTTTGGTTCATTCTTAAAAATAAGAAAGTAGATGAGATGAGATGAGATGTCATTATATTATTGAATGATGTGGCTCACACTTAAGAAAATCGTTTTCCTAGCTTTTTGGGAGGAAATGGATGGAAATGAAATGTTAATGAGATGAGATTAGTTGTCACCATCTTATAGGATGATGTGAGTGATTTGAAATGATAGTGATATTATGGATGAAAATAATATTTTATTAGATGTGGTGGATGAATTGTTAGATAAAAATAATATTTTATTAGATGTTGTAGATAAGTTGTTAGATGAAAATAATATTTTATTGGATGTTGTAGGTGAGTTTTAGGGATGGAAATGAATGAAATTGTACTTTTTGAGAGTTCCACCTTTTCATTTCCATTTCTTGGTTTTTAAAAAAATCAACCAAACAGACCCTAAAAAGGTGACGATGATAAACTATGAATGGTCACGTGGGGGGGCGGGGGGCACGACCAAGGCTTGTGAGACCACAAGATCCAGTGGACAAAAAAGAGGTCTAACGGATCTTTTGAGAGGCCCACCCAAAACCCTTCATATTAACACCCGATTTCGAAGCTATATATTTCCTAGGTTTTCGTGCGATTTGTAGTGAGTGAAGGAGGTTTTGTTTTTTTCCGGCTGTGGTTGTTTTCGGCAGAAGTTTTTTTTAGGCTTCGTGCGGGTGAAAAATCGCAGACAGAGGAGAGCTTTTGAGAGAGTTTTTGACATCCCCTTTGTGAGAGATTTGAGAGTTTGTGTGAGGGTTTAATTTGTGTGATTGTAAATCCTATTTGTATTCTCTCTCTCTAATAGTAGATCTCCCCCCTCCTTGCCTCGTAGACGTAGGCATCTTGCCGAACCACGTAAAATTGGTTGTCTCGCTGTTTGTGTGATTTGTAATAGCTTGTTTAGGTTCCCTTGACTGGTCAGTCCTAGAACTGATGAGAGGAATAACTGATATCCCACTTTGTTGAGATATTTTATTTTTGGTTCTTATTTTCTTGGTGAAACGGGAATTTCTATTGCGACCTAACTCTGTTATTGTGCTGTCGAGGTGCTGCCAAAATTTTCGCTGCGCACAACAAGTGGTATCAGAGCCCAGGTTTCAGATCTAGGGTTTTGGAATTAGGTGGATGAAGATTCTTGTGTGAAGCTTGGTTCTTGGAGTTCTAGGCTTCGGTGGAGATAACATTAGGAGTTACCGTTGGAGATTTCGCTTTCCTAGTGTGTATATGAGATCTATTTGGAATCCGATCTAGGGTTTAGTTGGGTAATTCTTAATTTCTATCAAAAGTTTGATTCTTTCTCTACAACTTGGAGTTAGTTTGCAATGGGAGAAGAATGTGAAAGCAGCAAGACGATGACGAGTACAATTCAAGTTGGTTTTTAGAACACCAAAATTAGTGTGGACATTTGGTTGTTTTAGTGTCGGCTCAGTTTTAGGAAAACTTCACCGAGGTGGAGAATTATGAACGGTTACGTGGGGGCCACCACCAAGGCTTGTGAGACCACAAGATCCAGCGGACAAAAGAGAGGTCCAGCGGATCTTTTGAGAGGCCCACTTAAAACCCTTCATATTAACACCCGATTTCGAAGCTATATATTTCCTAGGGTTTCGTGCGGTTTGCAGTGTGTGAAGGAGGTTTTGTTTTTTTTCGGTTGTGGTTGTTTTCGGCAGAAGTTTTTTTTGAGCCAAGAATGTCAAACCTGTCATGCACTACACCGTGTAATAACATGTTTCACCATCACAATTACTATCTCTCTAGTAGAGTCAACAATAGGTGTAGATCTCCCTAGTTGGTCAGGGGTTCAAATCCCCGCTTCCGCATTCACCTGATTTCTGTGGGATTAAGGGTGGGTGCAGAAACCTGGGGTTTTACTGGTCAGTTAACCCAACCCGTTGTATGCTCACCAGTTCGAGGCCTTTAGGGTCTCACGCTGATCACTCATTCACGTGGGGATGAGCCCCTGGTAGCAAGGGTACCTCCTTTCAGAAGGTAGGAACCTGAGGGATTCGAACCAGGGCCGCTGGCGGACTCCAAATGAGTTAATGTTGGGAGAGCTGACCGGGTTTCCCTTGTCACAAAAAAAAAAAAAACAATAGGTGTAGATACAAGACATGCACAAGAAAGTACACAGAAGAAACACTGAATGATAGATATGCTCTGAAGAAATAAGCACCAATGAAATAAATAGACAAATCTCTGAGAGGAAAAATATCTGAAATACAAGTGTCTCAACATAGGAAGTCTAATGAAATAACATTTAGGCACATCGTCTTTACAAAGCTAGAAATAATATCTCAAATGTTCATAAGTACATCTACTGTGGAGTTCTGACATAAACTGCTAATAATAATTATAAATAGTTGCTAGAGCAACTCCATCAAGCTACTGCTCTCCGTGCACTTGGCTCGTTACCTGAAAAGGGGGGAAACAACGAGCGTCAAGAGCTAGCGAGTAACATCTCAACCAACCCCAGGGGGAAGGGATAGAAGGATAAGAAAATAGCTGTAGATACATAATAGATAACAAATCATTGACCGTGAGACCTATTTGTGCCTATGTATGTCGTTCGCGTGCGGTTGTGTGGCTGGCGAGACACCTAAGTTATATGAGTTTGTTATACACTGAGATTTGTATACATGAGTTGACTATGGACACGAGTCTTAGATTTATTCGAGTGAATAGTCTCTCTTATTCCGCCTGCTCCGACCAAATACTTCTGCAGCTCTCTACCGAAAACCATACAATATAATTAAAATCAACATATAGTACCCACAGATGAAATAAAAAGTATATAAAAGATCCGAAAGGTATTAACAAATCGGCAAAATTAGACTGCGTACCTTTCAACTATTTTACATAAAATAATTGGGTATCTCTTTCATCGGTAATTATATCACAAAAGTACCTCACCAGCAGATTTGAGAGCCCTAGGAACACTTCAGCAAAAGTTGACGGATGAGGGGGAAAAAAAAATACCAACACATTGTTTAGAACTCACACGTTGGTGTAGGTCTCATATCATCTCAGCGTAGGAGGCGGAGTAAAATAACGTCGCCTCCTCACGTGGAGTAATTTGCCAATCAGACGATGGCTTAATTTTCAATTAAACCTCACGCGAGGTTTTATTAGCCTTTTGCAATTTTTCTTGTTTGGAAGGTTATGAATTAGTTAAAATCTTCTTAGGGGGTGTTTGTTTAAATCCTATATTTTAGAATATGGATTTCACCATGAGATTTAAAATCCATAGATGTTTTATTATGGGTTGAGATTTCTAAAATGTTGTTTGTTTCATTAATATTTTGGGATTTGGAATACTACAATTTGTAATATTTAATATTTTGGGATTTGGAATACTACAATTTGTAATATTTTGTTTGTTTCAAGCTCAAATTGTAGCATTACCAAATATTTGGAATACTACAATTTGTAATATTTTGTTTGTTTCAAGCTCAAATTGTAGCATTACCAAATTCTAAAATTTTGTAATATGATGACTATGCTATCTTGGTGAGGTTAACTCTCACAAAAAGATAAAATTGAGATTTGTCAAATCCTCTCCAATTGAGAGGTAAGCATACCCATTTATGGGATTTGTCAAAATCCTTTCCAATTGAGAGGATTTGACAAATTTTAAAAATTGGGCACTTTTTGCATTTTTGGGATTCAATATTCTAAAAATTTTCTTAAAACAAACACCATATATGGAAATCCCAAAATACAAAAAACTCATTTTTTGATCCCAAAACTTGTAATCCATACCAAATGCCAAATTTTTTTTTTTTGAAACAAACACCCCCTTAATCTCTCCATTAGTGTTGCCAAACAGGGCCTGAAAGGCTACATCGCAAGTTCAATGATTCGAAAGTCTAATTTAGCAGTTAATCGGAATTTAAGAGATAATTAATGCCTAAAAATCCTCTAAAACAAAATAGTGATTTCAAGCGCGGCGTGGGGTCTATTTACGATATTTCAACTATCCTTCAGATGCGTCAGATGAACCAGATAAACTGGATTACCTTCTTCAATTTCGCACCCCGCCAGCCGTCTCACGGCCCGGTTGTGGGCGAGAAAACAGCTGATAAACCGGACACGCGGCAGGCATCCTACGGTCTACGATACTCACGCTGTTCCCGCGCCGTACATCTTACCGTCGAAACTCTTTCCCCCCGGGTTATGAACGTCCATTCAGTGGTCCCCTCGTCGCGTCCCAGCCTCGGATCGGGTCACTCTCCGGTGAGCTCACTTCACACTAACACCCCTAAGATTTCTCTTTCCAAGAAAGCGAAGTACGCGCTACACTATTCTCCTGTTCTTTCTCTCTGCTGCATCTGTCACCGCTGCGGAAGGTGGCGATTGAGAATGAGAGGAATCAAATGCGTTGTCTTTCTCTCACAGTGACCATCTGTAAACCACTATCATAGAGAGAGAGAAACAGGGGATGCGAAGCTCTCTGTTTCTGCTCATTTGAGAAGCAAAAGGTCTGATCTTTTTATCTCTATGATTAACTTCTTATATATATTTCTTTTTTTTTTATATTTTAGATCGTGTGCTTAGTATCATTTTACTTCAACTAGTTGAGGCAATTCTCTAGCCCTTGTCAGAAAAATTCCAGAACACTGTTGCATGTTATTCCTTCTCTATGAACTGGTGGGTTTGCTTGTGCTTCTACATTTTTTTCTTCTCCCTTTTGGGTTTGATGGTTTCAAATTCTCATTTAGTGTAGTTTTTTTTGTTTTTTAAAAATTTTGGTTCTTTTTTTTAAGTTCATTGGTTGATTACATTAAGACTTTCCGAAAGGATCACTTATCCTGTTTCTTCAATTCTTTGATTCTGTATGTTAACTTACATTTTTGTTAGTTTCTATCATAATTTAATCCAACTTAAAACGGTGGATTCAACTGGGACTTCTGTTTTACTTTACCTTTTCCCCTTTGATTGTATGTGTTTTGAGTTAAAAGTTCAATTGGGTGTTAGCATTATCTTCACATTTTAATGCATGGCTTATAGAATAATGTTCTCTGAACAGATAACTTGAGCAATTTTCTTCGACGAAAGATATTCAATCAAAATTTCAATTTGCATTGCTTTAATTACATTTTTTTGCTTTCTCGAGTTCAGGTCATTCAGTTCATTGGGTCATAATAGGAAAATTATGAATCCAATATGCTTCAAAACCCAACTTAATTGAGTGGGTTCAGCGGAACATTCGGTTTTTCTTTTATTTCTCTTACCTTTTTCTCATTAAATGTGTACGTGTGAGTGGAAAGTTCAATTGGGTTCTTAATTATCTTCACTTTATTCATGCATAACTTAACTTGAGTAATTTCTTAATTATCATCTAAATTTCATTTTGCAATTAGTTAAACTACATATTTCCCCCCAATTCAGGCCATTCAGTTCATCAAACGGTTTACATAGACAACAGAAGCAATGGTCTCAAGATCATACTCCAACCTTTTAGATCTGGCCTCCGGCAACACATTAACAATTGGCCATATGGGCAAGAGGCTGCCTCGAGTGATGACCGTGGCCGGAATAATCTCTGACCTCGATGAAGAAAATTCCATTAGCAATGGCTCTGATGCACCCTCTTCAATCTCCCAAGAGCGCATAATCATCGTGGGCAACCAACTCCCCCTTCTTGCTCATCGAAGATCCGATAACAGTGGTTGGGACTTCAGTTGGGATGAAGACTCTCTCCTCCTTCAACTGAAAGATGGTCTCGGAGAAGACGCTGAGGTAATCTACGTTGGTTGCTTGAAAGAAGAGATTGAGCCTAGGGAACAAGATGAAGTAGCTCAAACCCTACTTGAGACTTTCAAATGTGTTGCTACTTTCCTCCCGAATGATCTTTTTACTAAGTTCTACCATGGGTTTTGTAAGCAACAACTGTGGCCTTTGTTCCATTACATGCTCCCTCTTTCTCGTGACCTTGGTGGGCGATTTGATCGCACTTTATGGCAAGCTTATGTTTCGGTTAATAAGATTTTTGCCGATAAGGTTATGGAGGTTATTAGCCCTGATGAAGATTTTGTTTGGGTACATGATTACCATTTGATGGTGCTCCCAACCTTTCTTCGTAAGAGGTTTAATAGGGTGAAGCTTGGGTTCTTTCTCCATAGCCCATTCCCTTCGTCGGAGATTTATAGAACTCTTCCTGTTAGAGATGAACTCCTTAGAGCGCTTCTTAATGCTGATCTTATTGGATTTCATACCTTTGATTATGCTAGGCATTTCCTTTCATGCTGCAGTAGAATGCTTGGTCTAGCTTATAAGTCAAAACGGGGGTATATTGGACTTGAATACTATGGCCGAACTGTTAGTATCAAAATACTTCCGGTTGGGATTCACATGAGGCAGCTCCAAAATGTACTAAATCTCCCAGAGACTGAAACTAAAGTTGCAGAGCTTAAAGATCAGTTCAATGGCCGCACCGTCTTGCTCGGAGTTGATGACATGGATATTTTCAAGGGAATCAGTTTAAAGCTTTTGGCAATGGAGCAATTTCTTATCCAACATCCGGAATGGAGAGAGAAGGTGGTTTTAGTGCAAATTGCAAATCCAGCAAGAGGCCGAGGGAAAGATGTCCAAGAAGTGCAATGTGAAACTTACTCAACCGCTAAAAGAATTAACGAGACATTTGGGAGTGAAGGCTATGAACCAATCATTCTTATCGACAGTCCTCTTCAAGTCTATGAAAGAATCGCCTATTATGTGATTGCAGAGTGTTGCCTTGTAACTGCAGTTAGAGATGGGATGAATCTTATACCTTATGAGTACATAATTTGTCATCAAGGAAATGGCAAATTAGACGAGACTTTGGAAATTGACCTGTCATTACCAAAGAGGAGTATGTTGGTTGTATCAGAGTTTATCGGTTGTTCTCCTTCTCTTAGCGGTGCGATTAGAGTAAACCCTTGGAATATAGATTCAGTGGCTGAAGCAATGGATGCAGCTTTGGCAATGAGAGATAGTGAGAAGCAATTAAGGCATGAGAAGCATTATAGGTATGTTAGTAGTCATCATGTTGGATATTGGGCTAATAGTTTCTTGCAAGATTTGGAGAGGACATGTAGAGACCATGTTAGGAGAAGATGCTGGGGTATTGGATTTGGGTTGGGCTTTAGAGTCATTGCACTTGATCCAAACTTTAGGAAACTTTCGGTTGATCATATAGCTTCAGCATACAGAAGAACCAAGAATAGAGCCATTCTTTTGGATTATGATGGCACGATGATGCCTCAAACATCGATCAACAAAACCCCAACTCCTGAGGCTATCAATATTCTGAATAGCTTGTGTAGAGATCCGATGAATGTTGTTTTTCTTGTTAGTGGAACTGATAAAGAAACTCTTAGTTTGTGGTTTTCTCCTTGTGATAAGCTAGTGCTAGCAGCTGAGCATGGCTACTTTATGAGGTAAGTCCTACTATCATCAACTGTGTATACTAGTTTTTATTCTGTGTATTTTCACCTGTCTTATTGCCAAATAAGGTAGGAAAAATCCTTTAGTACTTGTTTAATTAATTGACCTGAATATGAGCTAATGCTTGTGTAAAGTAAGAGTCCATATAATTGCAAACATCATAATTGGGCAAAAAGTGGTTAATTATGATTTAGATGCCTAGAAAACGACATAATTGAGCATTGGATGAATGTTTTTTCAATATAAATTAAGTCAGTTGAGATGTAGCTCGAGTCCTGTAGTCGTGATTAGAATAACTTAAACATTACTTGACAAGATTTTATTTTATTTGGATCTTTCAAGAACTTACCATTTGTTATTCAACCAAAGATTGTTTTCATTTGCACTTGATATTTGGCATCAAAATACTCTGTCTGCCTTTAGGTATTTTATTTATTTTTAGGGTAAATTTCAATAAACTATCGTGAAGTTTTGGAGGTTTCCAATAAATCTACCATAAACTTTTTTATTAAGAAAAACTTATATGAAGTTTCAATTGCACAAAAAGCACCATAAACCATAGGAAAATTTTCCTAATGGCATTAACGGCGACAAAAGGTCTATTACTCTTTAAAATAGGAGAGTAGGGAGAGTGCTATAATATCGTGCTTTTTCACATGTTCGAAAGTTCTCAGGGACCCTCCTTTCTGTAATCTTTTAATGGCTATTCGTGTCATCAATAAATAAAATTGTCAGGTCTGTCCGGGAACATGCGCGAATTTCAGGCTAAAAAGAGAGAAGAGGAGGGAGAGTTAAAATATATATAGAAAGAAAACAAGGGCAGTATTGTCGAAAATATGTTATGCGCTCAGCATATGATGGCTTAACTGATGTTAGCATGGTAGTTTAGTGAAAAAAAGTTAATGGTAGTTTTCTTTAATAAGAAGATTATGGTACTTTCTTTTTCAAAAACCCCCTTCGGTTGTTGTGTGGAATTTTATCTATAATTAAGCGTGCATTGATAGTGCTTTTGTTGGCACCATTTTCAACTCTTAGTCTCAATAGAAAACTATGGGATTCAAACTCTTTTTCTTACCTGAAATTTCGACCAGAGAAAAGCAAGATGAAGAATGGGAAACTAGTGTTCCTGTACTCGATTTTGACTGGAAACAAATTGCTGAGCCAGTTATGAAAGTTTACACTGAAACAACTGATGGATCAACCATCGAGGCTAAAGAGAGTGGACTTGTCTGGCACTATCAATATGCTGATCCTGACTTTGGATCGTGCCAGGCCAAAGAGCTTCTAGACCATCTAGAGAGTGTTCTTTCGAATGAGCCTGTGTCTGTAAAGAGCGGCCAGCACTTTGTAGAAGTTAAACCACAGGTTTATTTATAAGTTTGTTTTGTATTTTCAGAACTTGTTTAAATTTCAGTAATTCACACATTTCCTAATCCAATGCAGGGTGTCACTAAGGGCCTTGTTGCCGAAAGGCTTTTGGATATGATGCGGGAGAAGAGTATGCTTCCGGATTTTGTTCTTTGCATCGGCGATGACAGGTCCTGTTAAATGCAGTATCATACTAGTTATCATTTAGAGTAAATTTCACAAAACTACCATGAACATTGGAGCAATTTACAAAGAACTACCGTAAACTTTTGTATGAGAAAATGACCATGCATTTTTCAAAGCTGCAAAAAATTACAAATTAACTATTAGGAATTGTCGTGAATGGCGTTAATGGCTTGGATAAAAAGGGTGAACTACTTTGAAAATGGAAGAGGTATTATAGAAAATTTATAAAGTACATAGTGAGAAAATTGTCAAAAAATATGACAATTTACCCTATGTCATCAGGCATAGTAGTCTAGTAAACAAAAATTCATGAAATAGTTGTCTCTGATAAAAAAACCTTTATGGTAGATTTGTGCAAAGTTCCCTAAAATTCATGATTCTTTTGTGAAATTTCACAAATTTCCTTTCTCATGCTTTTCATATGTCGCCTACAATATGCGTATATATAAAGCATATTATCCCATTTCACTTTTATTGATCAATAACGAAGAGAAATCTTTTTCCAACTCTTGACAGATCTGATGAGGATATGTTCGAGGTCATCAGCAGAGCAACATCGGGGCCTTCGCTATCTCCAGTGGCTGATATTTTTGCTTGCACAGTTGGTCAGAAGCCTAGCAAAGCTAAATACTACTTAGAAGACACAACTGAGATCGTGCGGATGTTGGAGGGGCTCGCCAAGGCTTCAGATCGAACGGTACGGCTTGCTTCTTCTGCTCAAAGCTCTGGTGCCTCAAAGTTTGCTGTGACCTGATTCAGTCCTCTTTGGTTTCTGTTATGTGTACATATATTTCTAGATATGCCAGCATTGATAATGCACATGGCGCTGTGCCATTTATGAGTACCTGATGTTACTGTGAGAGTGTCGTATCCTTTGTGTTGGATGTCTATGGAAATATTATGTGGGTGGTTAGTTAAATAATTCAATTGAATTAGTGAGATTGTGCTAAGGTATTGTTGGTGCAATGAGAATTTCAAGCTTATTGTTTGATACGGGTGTATCTTCTTCCCTGTCTCGGGAGCTTAGTGATCCTCATGGGAGCTTGAGGATAGATGATTCTCATGGTATCTTGAGAATAGAGTCGTGGTTGGAGCCAAAGAAGATGACGAAAGAAGTCGGAAGAAGCAAAACGCAGAAGAACAGGGTAAACTGGCAGTTCTCTGTCCGGTCGACCGCGACACACATGCCAGTCGACCGGACAACCCTGCATGGCACAGGGAACAGAAAGTTCTTTGGCCGGTCGACCGGAGACCATGCTTGGCGGTCGACCGGATCGTGAATTCTGGGTTTCCTGTTTCGTTTTGGATTCTGTTCTGACAGGGACTTCTCTTTATTTGGGCTTGTTTATTTACAAGATTGCCACCCACGTTGTACCTGATATAAATAGGTTATTGTAGGGTTTCAAAAGGGAGACCTTAGGGAGAGAGAAATTCTAATAATTGTATTAGGGTTTAGAGAGAGAGTTGAGAGGTTGTTCTCGATTCTAGTAAGATTGTGAGAGGGATTGTAATCTTTTCATACTCATAATCTAGAGAAGGTAATTTTCTTCGCCATACTGAATTGTTCTTGTGTTTTGGTCATCCTCTTCTCAACGCACCTTTTGGTAATTCCGCGACCAAAGGGTGCTTGCACGGCAACTCGTATCAAGTTGGTATCAGAGCACCTAGATCCTGTGAAGGGGGAACCTGTGTATGGTCCTTACTCGCTCATAGTACAAGAAGCTTGGCGATATCCTTATTTCCTTAGAGGGAGTCCAGAAATTAAAGAAGGAGAAGATGACTGAAGCAGATAATTCAGCAAGACTTGATGCCATGGAGAAGCAGATTGAGACGATCGGGACGACTCTTACTCAACTCGTGGGTCTCATCAACGGAGGAGACAAAAATGAGGAATCTTCTTCGAAGAGTAAGAAGAAACTCGTCAAATCCGACGAAGAGAGCGAGGAATCTGATTCAGAGGGGGAGACTGAGATTGTCAAGACTGTTGGACATCAAGGGGGTAAGAATTCTTACGAGAATCTGAAGATTGATTTCAGAGTGGAGATTCCTATTTATGATGGGAGTGTTGACGTCGAGAGGCTTGATGACTGGATCGAGAGGATGAAGACGTATTTTACTCTTTATGGCTATTCGTCAAAAGAAAAGATTGTATTCGCGACATTGAAGCTTTCAGGGCATGCGTTGACGTGGTGGAAATCCTATTGCAAGCAGGAGAAGAAGGCGGTGTCGTGGAACAAGTTCAAGGAGTTACTTAGGAAACAGTTCTATCCGGTGGGATTCCTTGAGGAACGTTGGTACAAGTGGTATGGCTTTACACTACGGAGTTCCAACAGCAGGCAATGGTTCTTAACATTGCGACAGAGGAATATTCCGTGTTTATGAAGTATATGGCGGGATTGAGCGATTACATCCGAAAGGAGATGAGGTTATTCACGGTCGAGACTATTGCAGAGGCGAGCGTGAAAGCCATTGCCATTGAGGGCAAGCAAAAGAAGAGCAACGAAGCAAAGGGGGATGCAAAGCAAGTTGGAGGCGAGTCTAGTGGTTCTCAGTTTAAGGAGGAGAAGAAGAAGGGTGATCCAGGGCAAACATGACTGATTTGTGGTCATTGCGAAAAGACAGGGCACATAGTTGATCGGTGCTGGGAGAAGTATCCTCATCTCAAGCCAAGGGGGTTGAAGAAGAAGGAGGAGAAAAAGACGTACATGATAGCTCAAGGTCCGAAAGAAGTCCCGGGGATGACGGAACCCAATAGCAGCCTCAACCTTATGGCGGAAGATGACGACCCGAGGGAGCAGCTCTTTATGCTTAAGTTGCAAGTGAAGACCAGTTTGGTTGATGCCATAGTTGATCCGGGCAGCGAGAAGAATTTGATATCCGAAGCTTTGGTTCAGAAGCTGGGTCTGAAGACGGTCAAGCATCGAAGCCCTATCCATTAGGGTGGATTTAGAAGGAGGAGAAGCTAAGTGTAGTTGATCAATGCACTGTAAGATTTGCGCTCCATGAGTCGTATATTGACGAGGTCACATGCGACGTAGTTCCATTGGATGTTTGTCAGATTATACTGGGCAATCCGTACTTATGGGATAGATATGCGATCTACGAGAGGCGGGCTCAGAAGTATACATTCACCAAGGGTGGTGAAAAGTTCATATTTCGTTCGGCATCTCTTCCGAGGGAGACAAGCTTGGGGACGGTGACGCGGGCGAAGAGGTTAGTGAATGCAAGCAAGAAGTTTGTCTCGCTGTGCATTAGATTTTCAGAAAAACCATCGATGAAGGATTGCAACTTGGAGCGAAAAGTGACTACGACGAGACGCGGGATGAATGAATTATTTTCGATCGGACGTCGAGATCAGATTCTTAGCAAGGCCAGGTGGTTCAGAAAAGGAGGAGGGGCTCGCAAGTTCCCTCAGCTTCAGTTCTAACTTGAACGAGACTTCAAGTTCCTAAAGGGGGGACTCATGATACGGGTGTATCTTCTTCCCTATCTCGGGAGCTTAGTGACCATCATAGAGCTTGAGGATAGATGATTCTCATGGTATCTTGAGAATAGAGTCGTGGTTGGAGCCAAAGAAGACGGCGAAAGAAGTCGAAAGAAGCGAAACGCAGAAGAACAGGGTAAACTGGCAGTTCTCTGTCCGGTTGACTGCAGCATACATGCCGGTCGACCGGACAACCCTGCAGGGCACAGGGAACAGAAAGTTCTCTGGCCGGTCGACCGGACCATGCTTGGCGGTCGACCGGATCGTGAATTCTGGGTTTCCTGTTTTGTTTTGGATTCTGTTCTGACAGAGACTCCTCTTTATTTTGGGCTTGTTTATTTACAAGATTGCCACCCACGTTGTACCTGATATAAATAGGTTATTGTAGGGTTTCAAAAGGGAGACCTTAGGGAGAGAGAAATTCTAATAATTGTATTAGAGTTTAGAGAGAGAGTTGAGAGGTTGTTCTTGATTCTAGTGAGATTGTGAGAGAGGGATTGTAATCTTTTCATACTCATAATCTAGAGAAGGTAATTTCCTTCGCCATACTGAATTGTTCTTGTGTTTTGGTCATCCTCTTCTCAACCCACCTTTTGGTAATTCCGCGACCAAAGGGTGCTCGCACGGCAACTCGTATCATTGTTAACCCTCTTTTTGCTAGTCTTACTTAAAACAACTCTATTTGTTATTAGCTTCCAAGTGTTAACTACGTGTTTCTGATTTCTAATTTCTACATTATAAAGATAAGATCATATTCTCATACTTTTCATTGGAGTAATAGAATTTTCTGATAGAATCAGAATTATCTACAGCAATCGTGGTATACAACAACACTAAAAAACCTTTATCTTAATTTTTTAGGGTCGGCAATAGAAATTCTACTCTTTTATTCTGTTCTATTATGGGCCGTCTCGGCTTTTAACCCTTTAAAAAGCAATCATCAGTGGTATAAGTTGCAAATTTTGTGGAGTGAATATGACCCTACAGAAGTTTTTTTTAGTTTTGTCTTGTTTCTAGAAAAGAAAATTTTCAGGTTATGGTGCTTTATTGGTCCAATGGTTGAATGAATGCACGGAATAAATTAGCTGGCAGTATAATCTATTCTTTAACTACACATCGCTAATCAACTTTAAAAGGGAAGTTTCAACACAAATGAGATGTTTTGGATCTTACCAACTCCAGGAGTTGAGGTGACAATCGGTTGAATTCATTATTGGGACAGGGTTAGTGTTGATAAGTAAGAACATAAAAGATTTTGGTGCCAAAATCACAAAACCATTACTTGGTCTTTATCATAGTTAATCCTAGGCCTGACTACTAAACGGAGATATTAGTTTATCTCCGTGATTTCTAATACATGATTAAAATTTTAGATATTTAGGCTATATTTTAAGAGGTAGAGTCCTTCAAGTCTGTATAGGCTTTGCTTTGATCAGGGCATGGATACAAACAGTACTATAAGTCTATAACTGTGAAATGTAAAAGCTTAAGCATGAACCATACACTTGCTACCTCACTGAAACTCTGCAAATATACCATGCACAAGCAAAAACCATATATTAATATAAACAACAGCAAGTTTGTATAGGTGTAATTAGGATAAGATTGAGTTCAGTCGAATGCTAATCCCATATGGCCTTTACATTGGAGTTTCCAATTTTCGACTCAAAATCCAATCCAACCTCAAATCCTAGGCCGGCTCTATTAAAGTTTGGTAATGTTTTTAAATAGAATATTTCATATGAGTAATACATAAATAGAATAAAGTATTATTCACTCATAATAGATAATTTTCGTTTATGATTATAATATTAAAGCATATGTTCTTCATATTGTTCAATTACTTTCACTTCGTTTTCTAAATTATTTACATTTGACAAGACCTCGTAATCTTGTTATATTTGTCACCTACAAATAGTCTAATTATTAAACATGTCACATATGAATCAAAGTTTATTCGCCAATAAAAGCTAAATTACCAGACTGATATTAAATGTAGTATGTAATGACATGATTGATATTAAAAATAACTTTAGTCATAACAATGTATTTAAACTTGTACAACGGGACAAATATGCCAAAAAAAAAAAAAATTCTGTCAACATTTCTCCTATAACGACTCACTTGATCTGTCACGTGATACTTACATAACGTATTTATGATGATATGGTAGGGCTAGTTAGCATCATTCAATCCCTTGCTTTTGCGTTTTTTTAGTTTTGTTTCTGTTTCTTTCCTTTTTTTTCTTGTTTTTTTTTGTGGGAGGATGGGTGCCAAATTAGTCCGAAAAGAAAGGATTTTTAATTTGATACTTCTTCTTTTAAATTGGGGGTTCTCTATTGCAAGACAACATGGCTTCTTCAAGCTTAAGCTCCTACCTGTTGGAAAATTATCAAATAATTAAGATTATAGCATGCAGATAAATCCAAAAAATTAAACAATTAAAACTGGCCTGAACGAGAGCAGTCGTGTATTCACTGCCCTAGAAGATTGAGAACCCGCCTA